AACTACAAAAAACCTTTGCATATTTTCAGAAAAAGGAACTCATGGTAGGAAATAGAATAACAGTTTGGCATCTGGCTGAAAGGTATATAAAATATATTTTGACACCAGACAGTTGCAAACATTCATGCCCTACACACTAAACATTACTCAAAAAAATAGTTTCATCACTTAAAAATAAAAGGTTGGAGAATAAATCAGCACATCATCGTCCAAGATTTACATACAAGTTGATTGTTTGAGAATATCTTTGTCATTTGCAGCTTGATGAAGTGCTGTCATCGCTAAGTTGAGCCCTTATTTATAAATAACAGCAGTCACAGAAATGTTACAGTCTCACACATAGCCATGCTGAACGTGTTAACGTGTTGAACCATGTGATTATAGCTGCGTAACTGTCAAAGGTCAGCCTGGCTTCTCAGCAGTCTCCATTCTCTGATAATGTTTAGTGAATTCTCCAACTAAGGTGCAAAACACGTACAGTATCATTCATTTGGAGAGGAATCACGTAAATCTGAAACCTGGCAATCCAAATACGTAATTTCTGAAGTATCTGAAAAATCTTGAGATCTGATTCCTACACACAATTGCCGATACAAGTTCTGATACAAAGGCTCTTTTAAATGTAAGATATATAATTAATCACATAAAAATATTATACGTTATTAATATTGTAAACTAGCAAGTACAGAAAAATACACTTTAAAAATGCAAAAAAAAATATTTTTACAAAGATTGCAAATCGCTGTGCTACAAGTTCCTGTTAAAAGTGTAAAATACTCCCAAATCATCGCCTTCCTTTCTAATGCGCATGACGTCACAGCAGGCGGAAGTCACTGTGCTCACGGCCACCGAGTAGCAAAAAAAAAAAAAAAAAGTTGCAGCGTTAGCGTTCGGCTTGAATACCGCAAAAAAACACATCTGAAATGGGAAAGATTGTACAATAGATGTCATACTAAATATGAGCTATATTTTTAGAGACTGCCAAAAACGAAATAAGTAAGTATCGGCCTCGGTCACTTCTGGATCGGCGCTGATATCGATCCGAATATCGGGTCGGTGCATCTCTAATGAAAACTATGAGTCAGTGTAAAGCAGGTTTACTGCATTAATGTACGACCTTCTTCCAAAACAATATACAGTCAAACCTTGGATTGCGAGTAACTTGGTTTGCGAGTGTTTTGCAAGACGAGCAATTTTTTATTTATTTTAATTTGATAAACGAGCAAGGTCTTGCAATACGAGTATTATGTATACGCTTTGTCTGCCGAGCGTCACGTGATCACAACTGAGCCGATGGTTCTTCTCTCTCTGAGTCTCTCTTTCGCTGCGGGATTGTGGGGTAATCGTCTCCCATGCTCGGTCTCAGTCAGCGTGGCTCACTTGTATAGTCTTAGTAGTAAAGCACCACCCGAATAAGGGTGTAGCAGTGCGAGCGACGAATCTGTTTAACGACAATGCAATGTCACAGAAAAGGAGGCAGAAGCGGCTGTCATTGGATAGTTATACTGAAAGTCGTCCTACAAAATAACCCTCCTCTTCTCCTCTCTCTCGTCTCCCTCACACCATCCACGATTCTTTTCAAAGGTAAAGTGGAGGTTAATTTGTTTCATGTATTTTTACTTTATATTTTGTATTAATCATTTTTATATGAATATTTTTGGGTTGTGGAACGAATCATCTGAGTTTCCATTATTTCTAATGGGAAAATTCACTTTGATATACGAGTGCTTTGGATTACGAGCACGTTTCCGGGACGAATTATGCCCGCAGTCTGAGGTTTTACTGTAGATCTTTTGAAGAGATAAAAAGGGTGGAGACATTGTAATTTACATAAATACAATACCGTAATTCATCATAAGGTTTCTGAAGGGAAAATTTAACTGAGTTTTGCTATAAAATAATGATAATCATACCAATGGAGAAGCACCATAGCACAAAATATATCAACCACAAGACACAGCTCTCTCTGATGCCAATCTTCGGTGTTTGAAACATTAGTAAAGCTGAAACTGAAAAGATGCGACATTTGGAGCGTAAGTTAAGGCTTCCATGTGTGATTTTTGCACATCATATTGTGTATCCACATGCGACCGTCTGGTGTTGCATGTTTGCACCTAAGACTCTCCACATGAGTTTGACTTGTGATAACTTAGAAGCAGAGCACAGCTGTCGTGCGAGCGCTACCTGTCGTGCCATGCCAGCGGCCGGCCTCCTGCCTGTTGGACAGCGTGCGAGTGAGGACCATTCTACCTTAATGAAGTTAGTGACCCTCAGAAAGGTGACACATTTAGTGCTCCGGTGAATTATTCACTGCCTCTCTGCAGCTGAGTGCCCCAGCGAGAGGCCAGACATCATCCTAATTCTCCTGGAGGCGACTTACTTTTCCCTGCGGCCTCGGCTCTGATCCCCTCCACACACAATGACTGTCAGCCTAGAGAGTTCTCAACGAACAAATCAAATTACAGTCTGCAAATCAGACTTTAATTGAGAATAAAAGGTTCATGTCAAATATGTTATACCATTTGCTTTGGAGTCATTTATCATTCATGTGTGTTTCATACATGACACATGTAATAAAATATTTGCATAACTTCTCAACATATATAAAAAGCACATTGTGTTGTTAGAGTTAGAATGGGGCTACAGTTCTTTAGAGATCATTCTTAAATACTATGCAGTCCTTTGCAACAAGGTTTTTAATTCTCATTCTCAGACGTAACACGCAGAGAATTACGTGAGGTAGAGCATGCAAAACAAGCCATGGTGCAAACTCAAAAAACTCAAAGCACTTTATAATTAATAGCTTATGTAATATTTAAAATTATTTCTACACTACAGCTTGGAGCAGAATCCTGAAGGACAAAACTGATGTTCCAAGAGGGTTTTTTTTTTTTTTGTTTTGTTTTGTTTTTTATTGCGCTAAGAAATATAAAGGCTAATAGGTTCCTTGAGCATACTGTGTTTCATTATAATTATCTAAGCTGACAGGCTTTATTTGTAAAAACTGCATGGCAAATCCTTCTTCTAGACTTCTTTTACTTTTGATGTCAGGTGAGGCTTAATGAGAGAAGATGGCTTGTGTGATTTCTCTTGCAGAACCCCCCCCCCCCCTTGCTGTATGCTGTACATACAGGATCCCATTACATTCCCTCATAAATATATTTTATGAGGAACATATGCAGACAGTGCAGTCAAAAAGACTGACACCACTAGTGGAAAATTATTGTTTTGCATTCATTTCTAATTAAATATTAAAAATTTCATTACAAATTATATTATCAGTATAACAATTTCTGTGAGAAGTTGAATCTTAGGGAAAAAACATGACTTTATGATTTTTTTTTTTTTTTTTAGTATTTGGTATGTCCCTCTTTTATGATTTAATGCCACTTGAGTTTGCAGTGACTCCACCAGTTTGTGCAAAACCTAGTGATCCATGTTGCCCCAGCATGATCTTAGACTCTTCCACAGAGCATCTGTAGATGATACCAAATGTTATATTGGTCTTCAAGTGGCCCCATAAGTGTCCGATGGGGTTGAGGCTGGCATGTGGCTGTGTGGTAAAATAATGGGTTTGAACCCCCCACCCCCCAAAAAAAATGTCTTCATTGCCCTGGTCAGGAATACCTACTGAGAAGGAGCTATCAGTGATTGAGTTGAGGTCAAGTGATTGTGGAGCAAAGTCCATGACAGTCAGTACTCCTTGGGCTTCTCCTTAAGTTTTCCGTTCTGTTCGGGATCACTACAGTGCTGCAGTATGAATCCTTCCCCAAAGATCTAAAGCAGAGATTACAACTTGAAGCAGTGGCTTCTTGTGTGAACGTGGAGTCGAGCAGTGCAGGTGTCCAACTCAAAAGTAGGAAAAACACCCCCAGACTTATATCTTCCCACCGTCATGTTTCACTGTTGTTATGATGCACTACGGAATCAATCTCTTTTCTGTTTAGCCATTACATAAACTCTTATTTTAATGCCATAAATCTTAAAACTTGATTTCATCGATACACCTGTCTTTTCTCCAGTGATACACCGTGAAATGTTGGCATATCTTAGCCCATGCCGAAACTTTGTTTATTTCCAGGACTGAATGAAAAAAAAGTGGGATGTGAACGAAGGCTACTCCGTCAGGTACAAACCAACAGAAGGACTACTGTGTCAAAAATGGTAGATAATGTTGATGATGATCACAGGAGTACTGTGTCATGACAAGCAGAGTATGAAGCTGTGTAGCGTATGGGGCCGAATAGCCGCAGGCCAGTCAGATTGACCTTGCTGACCCCTGCCCACTGTCAAAAGTGCCTACAATACACTGTTTTTATGAGATAGTAAACATTATTCATTTCACATGGGAGTGTGTGTGTGTGTGTGTGTATAATCAAATGATCATATTTTGCATGTGTCATACCATGAGTAATACAAGACATCCTGATCTTTTATAAATAATATTAATTGATAGGATTACCCAACGTTTAAATGACAACAACATAAGATAATAACTGGGTCTGGCAGTGTGATAGGGAATAAAATAAACAATGGTTGGTTGAGCTTCTCATTAAATGGTTAATATAGTAAAGATGATGTCAGACGCGTATGAGATTTGTTTATGTATTTACCACCAGATTTAATTAAGCTACAGGGAATTCACTTTATACTGTACGTAAACAGTGGGAACCATGGGAATTCCACTGGAAATATAGCACAGAGGTACTGCATTTTCTCAAAATGGCATGGATTAAAAATGCTTTTTCACCTTGCTTTTTATCAGAGGCAGATATATGTGGATTCACTGATTCACTCCTAATTAGCATTTTTGCATTCATGGAAGTCTTTCTTTTTTTCCCTTTCATTTGTTTTGCTGGATGGATGCAGTGGGAACCTTGATTATTACTCTGATTCTGTGTTTTTTTTCCCCCCATAATCTAGGAGAATATCTCGCGATGGGAGGTGTAAATTAAGAAACAGTGAAGGATGCCCCTCCGTTTCTGTTTTTGTCTCTGCAGCCATCGAGGTGAACCTGCAGAGGGCCATGGCTGAAGCATCGGAAACCTGCACGCAGGAGTGCCTGATCCTTGGCCATTCTGACAGCTGCTGGATGCCCCCAGCGCTGACCCAGTTCCAGCCTTCCCACAATGCCACTTTGCCGAATTTCAGCTTTCAGCAGGGCTGGTCCTGTGGAACCAAGTCCGATGGGTGCCACACCCTCGGTAGATCCATGCCTAAAGATGAACTGGACAAAGGTAGTAACCGGCCCCAGTTCTACAACACCATCGAGAGACACTGCAGCAACAAGGAAGACCCTGTCAAGGTCATCCCCCTGGCAAACTTTACACCATCTGCACAGCAGTCACCGGCCACTGGGGGCACCAGCGCCTTCATTCATGAGCATCAGCTATAAAACGCCCCATGATTGGTGGGCAGTGGCATGCCTGTGGCTTGCCCCTTCATGTCTGTGCCACATACCAGCTTGTGTATATTTGGGGAATACAAAAAAGAACCTTAAACTTATAATATTGATGAATATTATATTAAGGTTATTGATTACTATAAAAGACAGTTGCTGTATACTGTATATCATGCTCCATAAAGTAAGTACCTGTAAATAAAAAGTAGTTCTAAACCAAAGTAGCTCCTCATCTTACGAAGAGGGAAAAAAGGTACTATGAGTTCATTCATTTAATGTTTAATGATTATTGTTAAAGATACACGTAGACTGAAATGCGGTGTGTGATTATGGCCCTTTGAAAATGTAACATCATAATAGATAAATACCTGCAGGGATGGCTGGAAGCTATTTAAAGAATCCTTAGTAAAAATAAATATATGAAATAAAGAAATAAACAAACTGCAAATAAATAAGGCAAAATAAAATTTGCTAGCAGTGTTTGGGCACTGTGTAGCCGTTCACTCTGCTGGGACTGTGACTCGCATCGGGGCAATCAGCAAAGCATAGAAGCCCTGTTGCCCTGGTGATTCCAGATACAGTACCAGTCTATATTTTGTTCTCATGTGAACAAACCACTGAAAGTCACGTTGTTTTTTTTTTTTGTTTTGCAATAGGATTGACTAGTTAACCCCAGATTATCACCATGGCATCTATTTCTGACCTTCACCCCTGCATATTTTTAGAGCATTTTATTAGTGCATTGGAAGTTAAAGGAATTGGGATCCTTTACTACCCTTTTAATGAGATTTTCTTTGTGTACAATTTTTGGATCATAATAAGTTCTATGGAACCAATTACAAGAATCTCCCCATTGTATAATTACTTTGATCTGTAATTACCAGGATGGACATAGTTGCGGAAGAGTGCACTTTGAGAGTTTAATTGGCCTTTATTTATTTTCCACTTTAATCCTATGATTTGCGTTGTATCTCTCTTTTCACACTCACTACTGAAAGATATATTATTGTTCACTTAAAGAATAATCAAATTTCCATTAATCATAAAACTTAATCTCAACAATACTGTTAACATCTATGATCACTGTAATAAATAAAACATTGCTTAATAGTATGTCCCCAGCCTAAAAAAAATATTAGCCTTATTGTTGATTGGGTCGAGTGACCCCTTTACTATATAAGTGTTAGTTATTATTATGGTTATTGTCGTACTTTTTGTTGTTTTATTATTAGTGATTTCTTTTCTGAGAAAAATACACCATTTTAATGCTACTCTAGAATGTGATAATCTTCCATCAGACTTGAATTCACCTATGATTGAATCCACCTACGATGAAAATTAATGCATTGCAAAAGAGAAACACAGCATCTCAGATAAAGTCCCTGGACAATGTATCCTATAATTTAAGATAGGGTGGTGAATTTCTGCATTTCAGATATCTATGCTGCACCAGTAGTGGTAATACTATTTAGTGTATTCTGCTGACACTCAAGGCCTTCAGGTCAGTGATCTAAGAAATTGCTTTGCTATAAATTAGTTAGAACAGTACCGAAATTATGTGTCTCATAATAGCACTCTGTAGAGGCCCGATTGCTCTGTTGCCTGCTGAACCACATGATGACACACTTGCATTGGCAGCTACTCCCTCAACTACCTTATAATTGTTTAACACATTTAATCCAGGAGAATAATAACACTGCTGGGAGTTTGTCGGGGAAGTCTGGCATCTGCACACGCAACTCAAAACATCACTTCTTGAATTCAGTATCAAAGTTTTTTTTCTTCTTCTTTTTTTTTAAAATCTGCACCATGTCAGGCTGGTCTACTAAAGACAAGTTATCTACAAAACACAACATTATTCCATATCTTTATGGGGGATGACTAGACTACCGGAATATTACCAAGGTAAATTAAATTCAGCAGATAAGGGGTGTAACACTAAGACCACCAATGACAACAACAACAACAACAACAACAACAGTAATAATAATAATGATAATAATAATAATAGTAATAATAGCGCTTGATAAAAATATGCTCTTTCTCCTGAATTTAACAACAACAACAACAACAGTAATAATAATAATGATAATAATAATAATAGTAATAATAGCGCTTGATAAAAATATGCTCTTTCTCCTGAATTTAAGGCTCCCCCATACATCTACTGAAGCCATCCACCAACCCGAAGTATAAAACTGTCAGCAATTCAGTCTCTGAGCCAGCACCCTCAAGGCACCTTGTCTAGGTGTGAAAGATGGGTATCGTCATATTCAGGAGAGACTGGGAGGTAGGTAGGGAGATGAGGAGAGACAAACAATCTGATATTGTTACCCCATTTGTGCTTAGCCATATCTATATAATGTAGATAAGGTGAAATTATTTTTTACATCACGGTTTCTTCATTTTTGGATTAATTAGTAATTACATTTCTCTTTTTAATAAAGACAAAATTTCTAAATTTAGTAAATTTGAGAGTGACAGTTGATTTGAAATGAAAAACTACCACGTATAAGTACTGACTACTGCTGGGGTAGAGAACCCTGACCCTACAGTGCCAGTATCCAGCGAGTTTTCTGTCCTGCCTGATGAGTCACTATCTGGTTCATCAGAGAGCAGGTAAGATGGAAAACCTGCTGGATACTGGCAGCCCAGGATCAGGGTTGCCTACCCCTGGACTAGTGAATCATAGATGATTCTCTAATTACTGCATTGCACAAATAGCATTAATGCCCTAAACATTAGGTAAAAAAAACCATAGAGTGACCTTTATAGATCTCTAACTGTGTAGCAGGAGTCATCATTATTGCTTGCTAGCATTTCACTCTCACTTCATAATGCTAAACTTCGGTTAAAACATCAATAAGAACATTATAAACGTTTATTTTTCAATCATATTATCAATTTTTACTTTAGTACCTAACATTTAATATGAATGAAATTCTTAAATCCATTAAGGTAATCACAGTAAAAGTTTAAATTTTCATAAGATTCAGAATTTTATGATTCAAAATTTTTATTACACATTTACAGTACACATAACGCAGTAAACACTGTATGTCAAAGAACTATCTGTATTAAAAAAGAAAACAGTGAAATAAACACTTCTGTGATGACAAGTAATTATAATGTGTGTAATACGCATGATCATATTCATATCCTTTCATTTTTTATATTTTATAAACTCCTGCTGACCACATTTTAGAACAAACTGAATGTGAATGAAAGCAAACAAATAAAATAATATAAAAATGTAAATTCCAAATAATGCTCTTCTTTTCTAGTTTTATTTAAATTTGCATAACATGTTGCGCTAGGTGGTTAATATTCTGCTAATTAGTTGTCCTGCATCGTCATCTGCATGTGATAATTGCAACCAAAAGCTATACCTGCTATTATTAATACTCAGTTTGTGTCCAACAGCTGCTGAAGAAATTTGCTATGTGGCTGCCACCCTAAAATTGCATTCTAGTTATGTCCCTGTGCAGAAAAAGAGTAATTGTAATTCAAAGACTGAATCAATTTCTGTATTTTCAGATATACAGAAAAAGACATATATTTTAGTACATACTGTTGATTCATATATATGTAATATATGTAAACAAATAGCACATTGAGATGGAAAAAACAAGATGGAAAATGGTTGCTTTGCAGAGGTTCAAATTTGAAATTATTTACAAGAGCAACGGTTTGATAAATTCGTATTTGATAAAAAGACAATCTTTGCTGTTACATTGAAAAATATGCATATATTAATGTGGGTGTGTGTGCATTTGTATATGTATGGGCGTGAAAGTGCAGGTGCATGTATGTATGCAATACATGCAGGCATTGTTAGTTGGTGATTAACAGGACACTTGTACAAAAATTATCATAAAAGACTTTGATTACTATAACTGCTTGTAAATCAATATAAATGGTTATTTATATTGGCTAGTGGAGTTTACAACTGCTTTGAAGGGATTTTTTTCTTGTTAGTCAACAGTTTGATGTATTTAATAAGGAATATGCTTTTATTCCTTTGTAAAATATCTAATCCACAATCAGTGACTGTGTGGACGATCACTTTTTCATAATCAGACAATGTGATTCTTTTCTTGTCATGACATTTTACTTGAACCATTAAATATTGTGTATCTTGATAAATATACAATTGATTGCTTATTTCTTATTTGTTTGGGAAAAAATACATTTGTTATATTCAGTCATTTAAATGTATCTTCAAAAGAACAGGGATTTTCCACCTCTACCTGTATATTATTTTTACGTGGCAGGCTGACTCAATGGGTAAGAATGTTGCCTGATACCTCTAGAGCTCAGCATTCAAATCCTGCTCCCAGTCTGCGTGTGAATGGACAATGGATAAATATTCGCATTCTATTAAAAGAAAGGTGAGGTTTTCCCAACTACTAGTCAATGACACATATAGTCTGCAATCGATAGAGCTCTTAAATCAGGATGTGTCCCTTTAGAGAAGAAGTATAGAAGGTTACATAGTATTTTATCTATGAAAAAAGACAAAACAAAACACATGGAAAAACATGAAGCACTTCAATCAGTTTTTTTTTTTTTTTGAGAAACGATTCAAAGAGAAACTTATGTAGGTATGTCTAAAATTGGTTTTCACCAATTAAACTTTGGCATCTCCTTTATTCATTTTTCTTCCCAAATATTGTAAAGGTCATTCTTCTTGCTTATAGAATGCATGATAGGACTTAAAAATCTTCAAAAAGGATGTGTTTGTTGTGCACATATATGTATATGTATTGGCCAATGTGACACATCTGTTTCAATAAAGGTGAGACAATTAATTGAGTTCATATTCATTAAGATTCATTAGAACTGAAATAAAATTAATTGAAGTATGATCGGGGATAAATGCCTCTACCAATCATTCAAAAGATACATAAACAATTTGTACATAATGTTGGCATTTACCATCTTTAGGACTTTTTTGTAGGGTTTTGCAGAAACTCCACCTGTAATTAAGCACACCATAGTAAGTTAATGTTAACTTAATAGAAAGCACCCAGTCCTCACTAAGCCCTACTATAGTAAATTAATGTTATTCAGGAAACCACCCAGTCATCAGCTAATGTTATTCAAATAGCCAAGTTCCTTACAATTGTGATAGACAAAGGACATATCAAGGTGATCGAGGTGATCAAAAGAGTCCTTCATTGATGGTCATCACTGTCTTGTGGGTCCTGATTGTCTGAGATCAATCAATATCCCTTGTAGCAGTGTCTGTATAAACCTTTGTCACACACAGAATGTTTGAGAGAAGACTGAATGAACATTTCATTGAACACCAAAAAAATGAATTCCTTCCTGCAAAGAAAGCTTCTGGTGTCTCTCCTTAAAATCGGATAACAGAATCTCACACATTAAGAGTAGTAGTAAAATACACTCTGCTTCTTCATACTCCAGCGGTCACTGCGTCATTGTGTTGTCAGTATTATTTAGTAATTGACACATCAACAGGGAATTTAGTGGTCTTCGTTTCATTAATACTATGCTAAAATAACCATCAACATATCAATAAAGAGTCTGGGGGCATGTTCAATTAATCAATATCCATTTACATCACCAGGTTTAATTATTATAAATTTAGATTTCGGCTGTAGATTAAACATCCAAGAGAAAAGTCTTTTAATATATTTTGAGGGAGACATTCAGGATTTTATTTTCCCATCATGGACACGACAGAAGAGAAACTCCTTTGTCACAATGGTGTGTTTCAAAAGAATAAGTGTCACATAAGATAGACAATTTACAGCACCCTTATTGTGTAAATTGGTGCCTTTTAATTAAAATGATAATAGAAGTGAAAGAACTCACTGAATGTGACACTTCTTTGAGAATAGCTAGTTAATAGAACAAAGGGTATAGTATTAAACGTTCAGAATTATTAAAGTGACAAGTTTTATACAGCTCAGCATTCTAATGACTATTCATACTTGTCTAAAGTATACCTAAATATTTACAATGCAGCATAGCTGATGCTTTGTTAAAAAAACGTATCAAAAATAATGAAAGAAACAGTGGCAATTCTAGCTTGTATGGCACCCTGGGCAAACTGCTCCATCAGCCCCCCCAAGAAAAGTTGAGTGTTTATTTCCCAACATTCGGCATAAACTGAGATTTTTATTAAGACATTTGGAACTATAAAAAATAAGTAGGATAAGATCTTAAGCCATGTAAATGTAAAAATATATGCAAAATAAGATTCATAAATATCAAAAAGTAAGTCACAAATAGAGACAAATTGTAGAACATAAATTAAAAATGAAAAAGATAATCTAATTTTTACACTATTACCCTAGTGGCTAACAAGCATACTATTGGTATACTAGCCCATTTCATTGCATACATAATATTATACTCATAGAGAGATGAAATAACTGCATACCTTTATCTTTTGCGTGCCCCTCCTATTCTTCTTTCCTTTATTTTTCAAAAGGGCTACCTTTCTTACAACTGTTTTAATTAGGCACTCGAGCATCAATACATTACCCATCCCCCAAAACTGCCAACCGTGAGTCAAAACTAATCCAATTCACCTTGGTGTAAAGACTGTCTTTATATTCATTTTGATGATTCCAAGCGAACACGAAAAAATGCAACAATTTATCTGTGAAACTATTTACAGTATTATGAATGAATTCTGGTTTATTTTATAGAATTTCAGTGCGACTGATTTTACTGCATTAGTATACATAGTTACTGTACAGGTGTGCTATTGTAAAGATTCCCCCCGCTCCACCTACCTTGGGGTTCCAGAGGGGCGACCTGAGGTCAGCCCACCCCCCCATCTTGTACTTCTGAGTGGTAGCCTGACTAACTCATAAACTACAGTCAGGGATCCCACTCTGATACTGTTAATTGTCCCACACGGTGACATAATATCATTGATGTGACATGCAAATGAGCAATAAAAAAAAATGATCGCGCAAATG